GAGACTGGGAGGCAAACATTTCTGAGCTGCAGTTAAACTCTGGGAACTTTGTCAGAGTTTAAATCCATCAGGGTTCATTCAGTGTGTTTTTAATGATCCAGGTTCAGAGGGCAGAAGGATGAAGATGAATAACATTTTTTCTTTTATTGGGCTTGAAGTTAAGTTCTTCTTTTCCGCTTTCACTTTTACTAATTCCCCTCTAAGAAAAAGCTTTTTACAGTTATTTGCCAACAAATAATCAGAGTTTTCACCAAAAGGCTTTCTTCTCACTGCATTAATTTTCAGACACAATCTGTGTCTAAAAATCTGTTTTATGCGATGATCTAAAAAACCATAGCTCTACCAAATTAAATTCAATATTAAAGGATTAAGCTCTGCGCAGTGCTGGGTGTGCAGCAGTGGCGTATGAGGTTAGTACATCCCACGTATGAGGCCTTAGCTGCTGCCGGTTTGACTCCCAGCGACTTTCCCCTCTTTCCTGTCAGCCTACTTTTAAAAAAATACGGGCCTCTAGAGGCAACAAAATCAAAACAAAACCAAAACTCTGCACAGTGTCACAGTTGTGTTCTTGCTGCAGAGTTGCCTTGAAGCCAGAAGGTCCTGGGTTCGATTCCCGGCTCAGGGTCTTTCTGCTAGGTGTATGCATGTTCTCCCTGTGCATGGTGGGTTCTCTCTGGGTTCTCTGGCTTCCTCCCACAGTCCAAAAATATGATCGTTAGGTTAATTGGTCTCTATATTCTGTGAGTGCATGGTTGTCTGTCTGTCTCTTTGTTGCCCTGCGTGCCCAGCGTGACCCCGCCTCTCGCCCGGAACAATAGCTGGAGAGGCACCGTCACCTCCAGACCCCACTAGAGACCAGGATGTTAGAAAATGGATGGAAGGATTAAACTTTAGGATATTTTAACAAACTTTAACTCAGAAAGAAGAGAAAGGAATACAAAATAAGCTCTTTCTTTCTCCAGATTTCTGACATGAAGTCTACATTGCTGACTTTTAATTGCATTTAGCCCGTTTTCTCATTTGTATCTATGAGGCTTTCTGCACTCTCCTGCTCAGCCTCCTCTCTTTGTGTCTCTGAGTGCTGTGTTTATTTGCTGTTTCTTTGCTGCTTTGTTGTTTTTTCCCCGTAGCGCTTTCATTCTGATTCGATTAAAAGGAGGATACAGCCGAGCGAAAGAGGAAGCGAGGCAGAGTGAGGGGTGAAGGGAAGACAAACAACAACAAACATAAACAGATTAAAAGCATTATTTGTCAACAGCGACGCTGCCTGTTAAAGGGAACTGAGAGGAACAGAGAGACACTTAAACAGAAATCAGTGCCAGTCTCACCATCTGTGTGAAGCCACCCAGACTGTGTGTGTGCGTGTGTGTGTGGGGGTGTGTGTGTGTGTGTGTATACGGGTGTATATGTGTGGGTGTGTGTGTGCATGTATGTGTGTGTGCGTGTGTGAGTGTGTGTTTATGAGTGGGCATAATGCCTGCGCACAGCTTGTTCTGTCAGCTGGTACCAAACTCCCATAACTTGTTTTTTTCTCTTTTTCTTTCCTTTCCTTTCCTTTGCTTTCCTTTCCTGTCCTTTCCTTTCCTTGTTCTGTGTACCCCAGCTTCCTATGATGGACCAACTCTGTTAGCGTTTGTGTTCAGACTGTCACTTTTACAGCTTCTTTTACAATTGTATACATTAATCTGAAGCTGCACAGTTGGTAGAACTGTTGCCTTGCAGCCAGGAGGTCCTGGGTTCGATTCCCGGCCCGGGGTCTTTCTACATGGAGTTTGCATGTTCTCCCTCTGCATGGTGGGTTCTGTCCCGGTACTCTGGCTTCCTCCCACAGTCCAAAAACACGACTGCTAGGTTAATTGGACTGTATCAGTTCTCCTTCTGTGTATATATGGTTGTTTGTTCTGTCTGTCTCTGCGTTGCTCTGCAATGGCCTGGCGACCTGTCCAGCGTGACCCCGCCTCTTACCGAAAGGATCCCGCTGGAAACAGGCATCAGCCTCCTGATCCCATTGGGGACAAGGTCTTAGAAAATGGATTGATGGAAATTAATCTGCATCCTTCAGATACTTTTTTGAGTGGAACCTTTTATCTGGTTTTCAGTTGTAATTTTCTGTTGGATGAAAAGCGAAGAAAATTATGTTCAAAAGCTAAAAGAAAAAGCTAAAAAGCTTTTTGCAAGTTCTTGCTTAAAAATTATCTGCAGAATATCAGTTTATTTTACTTCCTATGATAATTTGGATTGAAAAAAACATTTTCTTTAAAGCCATATTACCCAACCTTACTGGACAACAGTGGAAAGATTTACACTTCTGTTGATTGACTGACAGAAGTGAATCAACACACAAACAGTCAGAATGGCTGATTCTGATCTAATCATATCTATGTTTGCATTAATAACTTAGAGCTGAAGCTAATCTGAACTAGTGCATTTTTATTTGGAGTTATAATGTTTGTTTTTTCCAATGATCCCCCCTCCAGCCTCATGGCTCCCTATTTTTGTCCTTCATCATTATTCTGTCCATCCCTCTGACCCATCTGTCCCTACCAGACGCTCCCACCGCTCCCTCGCTCTTCTCCTCCCCCCGTCACATCGACCCCTTTTGTTTGCATCTATTGAGCGGCTGTGGGGGAGGCAGGAAGGCTCCGGTCAGCTGTTTCCTCCATACGTGTGTGTGTGTGTGTGTGTGTGTGTGTGTGTGTGTGTGTGTGTGTGTGTGTGTTTGTCTGGACAGTGTGGGAATGTGTGTGAGAAAAAGTTGCAGACAAAGCTCAGTCCAGACTCAGAGAGTGCGTGCTCACACTACGACTCGGAGCGTCTGCAGATCATGTAGCTCCAAGTTTTCCCACAAACTTTTTGTTTTAGTTTCTTTTTTTTAGAAATTTTGTTTAAGTTTGCTTTACTTTTCTCACTTCACCGTTGCCTTAACAACAGACCCCAGGGATCTAATCAGCGCAGTGTTTCAGAGAGAACGTCTTGATCTGGGCAGCTTGTTGCATGCAGAGACTATGCAACCATCGTCAGGGAGTCACAGCCATGAAAACTGTGTTCAGATTCAGCACTGTGGTGAGTTTTGTGTCAGTTTAGTCAGTTTTTACAGCAGGCAGCTCGGATTTCACTTTATTTTCATGCTTTTTCTTTTCAACTCTTGTGAAACTTTTAGTTCAGATCCAAACTGGACCTAGAATTAGCATTTTCACATAATAAGGTTATTGATTCTACAGTATTTTGATATTTAATGATTCTGCAGTGGATGGGAAGAGTCTGAAAATGTCCAACTCAACGTTTATTGTATTTATGAAGTTCTGTGATTATTTGTTTAAGTTGTCATTGTTGAGCTTAATTTGATCAGGATTTATATTATGATCAATATTGTTGTATTTTTAATCACTTGTGCAAAATCGTAAATCCCGTTTCGTCCAGTTTTAGAATGCAGGTTCCTCTACCTTCTGGAAAATAAACATTAACTTTTCTTATGAGGATTTTTTCAGTGATTTATTCAGTTGGACAGCTTTTAAGTTTTGTTTGGTAAAATTAAAACATGTTTTAATGAAGAAGAATGAAAAAAGTTACATTTTTTAGTTAGTTTCCATTCACTTAATAAATCGCTCTAACCTAAAAGGTCAGATTGATCATAGTCACAGTTACCAGTAATCTTCCAATTATCAGAAAACTGTAACGCTTTTATTTTGAAAAGGTTAGCTTCTCAAACAGTTGGTTAGTTGTGTGTTTCTCTCACTTCCTGTCGGTGGGAATTATTTAGGGTCACTTTTTACAGTCATACAAAATAAAAATGGTTGAATTCATAAAAGTGCAGAAATGCAGTCAGCTGACTTTTTCTTTTGACGCCGTGTGACCGTTAACGGGTCCAGACGAACACAGAGCTCTGAGAACTGGTGTGAGCCGTCTGGAAACCAGTCTGCAGTCTGGTCTGTGTGCGTGTGCGTGTGCGTGCGTCCATGCGTGGCTGCAGGTCACTTTATGTTCCTCTTTCTGATTTGGCCCTGACCTCTGCTTGCTCCCTTTGAAAAAAGTGTGTGAAAATTGCACAGTGTGTGTGTGTCTGATGGGGGTGGCGTAGGCATGAACAGCGGGGAGTTTGAGCAGACTGTCTCTAAACAAAGCTAGCTCTGTCTGTCTGATGTTGTCTGGCTCTGTGTGGGCGTGTGTGTGTGTGTGTGTGGGTGTGTGTTTGTGTGTGTGTTTGTGTATGAGATTCCCAGACCCCCTCCATGTCTGAAATAAAACACTGACCTTGTTTTGGTAATTATATTTCACAATTTGGATTTATTCCACCTTTCTTCTCAATAGGAAGTGATCATTTTTGCTTCATAAGTACAAAAATGTCAAATTTCTTTTGTTTTATATTGAAAACATGATATTTTCATACGATTTGTGGAAGCAAATTTTTCTCTTTCACTGCACAAAAAAACCAAAACCCTAAATCTCAATCAGCTGAATTCAAAGCTTGCATGCAAATAATGTTGTTGTTCTTTATTATTGCTATATTTTTGTTATTATTTTTTTATTCACATGAGCTGATTCTAAATTGTTCTTCCATTTTCCTTTAGCCTTTGAGATCCCTGATCTTCCTGCTGTTAGTCGAGAAGTTTACTGAAATACATTTCACTGCTTTTCTGAAGCGTAATAAAACTTTCTTTGTGCTGCTTGTTTCCAACATCTTAGGTTATAAAACAACTTTCATTCAGGGATATTTTTATGCACCTATAACCACTGTTTCAATTGTAAAGCATCTAATGGAGAAAAATAATGTGAAACTGGTTTACTCCCACAAAGCAACTGGGTGGAGTTTGACTCTCAGCCTGAGCTTTGCAGCGCTTTGTTAATAATCAGCAGCTTTCAAGGTGACTAAGTCCTGATGACATAACTGGGCATGTTTGTGGCATTTTCTGTGCATGTAGAAAAAGTTTTAATCTGTTTTTAATACTTTATTGTTTGTTGGTTCAGATCATATGCTGACCTTAGTGTTTGTGCCGTTGCAGCCCAGCTGGAGTTCGTCCAGATCTTGGTGATTGTGGTGTTCATGATGGTCATGGTGGTGGTCATCACCTGCCTGCTCAACCACTACCGCCTGTCTGCGCGCTCCCTGCTCTCCAGGCACTCGCCCGCCCGCCGGAGGCACCTGCCGCTGGCCAACGTAAGAATTTCCTCCTGGCTGGGATGAATGCTCTTATTTTAAACAGAGAACAGCTGTTATTAACTATTGAGTATTAAAACAAGCTAACAAATTTAAGATTTCAGATGATTTGTTTATTTTTATTTTTATTTTGATGCACAAACGTAAGCAAAAAGTTTCAATATTTTCCCGCTCAAAGATCGCTAGATGTAGTTTTAGAACATCCAACTGTATATTTTTTGATAGCAACCTTCCTTTTTTTTTAGCTGACTGGCTGTGTTCAGCAACAAGTTGGGGAGGGAATAGCAATAAATTAATCTCAAGATAAATTAAAATGAGCTCAATAATTTCCATTTGCAAAAACTGGATGATAAAAGTCTTCAGTCTGGTGCTTTGGTCTCAAGAAGCCCCTTTTTGTGAGAGACTTCATAATTCATTTTTATTGTTTCTGTTGTTTCGGATATTTACACTTTATCCTGGTTCCAGTGTTAAATGTTCATTACAATGTAAGGTTTATTGATACTTGAGAATGTGTTCTTGCATTATTATGCCTGACAATCATCTCAAAACATCAACATTATCGTTTATCGGAGTAACTTGTGAGACAATTTATCATCCAGAAAAATTTGTTATTGTGAAAAGGATGGGAATTGCTCCATTTCTTTCTACTCCGTGCTATCGGAGTGAACTCTGGGTTTTCTGTCACCTTCAGGGTTTCAGTGAAGAACTTTTGATGGTCTGGAATTTTAGCATTTTTGAAACTTTTAAAACCTCCATTTACATCGATACAAAAAGCATCAAATTTTTATAAATACAGATCAGATGTATGCAGATGTAAAATTTCCCACTCTGCTTTCTAACCTGTGGATCACATGTTCAGATATTTCCATACGTATTTTGGGAAATTTCTGAAAAGATTCTTGAAAGAATCTTTTCAGAAATTGCCATAACTTCCTGGCAATGAGAAGACGGGTCGTATTGAAAGACAGAATAAGAGGAAGACAGAGTTTCATGCATGATGACAGACAGCATGCAATTCCAGTGATTACAGCTGCTGCAGGCTAATGCTAGCACACTGACTCACTTTTTTGTTAAGGGAACCGGCGTCTATTCTGAGGAACACATCCACTGAGAAACACCTGAGGCTTCCTCAAACATATGACTTCACTCATGCTTCCTGAGTCGCTGTGTGTGTTTGTGGCTCCAGTCGGGAAGTAAGATATGATTAAGGGATGAAGGATAAGCATCACACATAGAGGCTTTGTGAAGAGCTCAGGGGAGTGACAGTGTCCTAGTTAGTTTGGATCAGCAGTCAGACACACTGACACACATCCAAGCAGACAAGCAGATCGAAATTCTCTGAAAGAAAGGAAATTAAAAGGGACAGCGAATATTGGACAGAGGTGCTGATCTTCTTAAAAACTGCTGACATGTCTGTTTTAGTCGGTAATTTCCTTTCAACACGGAGCTGTAGAAGTTAAGCAACCACAGAGGACAAGGTGAGATTCTGAGAAAGAACAGAGCGAAAAATGAAGCTGCATAAAAAAGTTTTTATAAAGGAAAGAATGTTAAAAGCAAGAGGAGTTCAGTTTACGTGCCAGCAGAGCCCTCTTGTGGAGAAACACGTAAACAGATAAAAGTGTGCAGAAAATAACTTGGAAAAGTGTCTGAAACTGTCAATAACAATGAAATATTCTAAAAATCTTGAATAAGTTTGTGTGATTGGGTCAGTTTCTTGTTACTCTTGTTACTTATTATGTTTTAGTTTCTCCCGTTTTTTTTATTTGCTCTGTTGAAATCAGTTTTGCTTTAAAACAAAACCAGATGGACAGTAAAATTCTCTGTAATTATCTGGTTTAAGGCATAAAGACATAAACACAAACCAATACAGTTTCCATTTTGACTGGTCGTTTGTGGTTTGTGAATTTTATCCTCAATTTTTTTCGTTTTTTCTCTGGTCCACATTGATCGTAACTTTTAGAAATATTATTATTTAAAGCATAAAGTATTAAATATATACAAGTTCTCAGAGATTCAGTTTTATTATCATTTGTTTAATTTGAGGCTTTTTAAGATTTTGTTCCAGGTATTTTATTGGGCTTTCACTTATTTTCTTCTTTTAATTTATACTTGCAGTTGTTTGTATTTAATTGAATCCATGAGCTTAAAAATATCTTCTTCTTCTTATCTTTTAATTATAAATCTTCATCATGGGCATTAAATTTGAGCTTTTTGACAGTTAGTCCTTTATTATGTTTGCGCTTTTTTTTTCTTGCTTTTGTGAAATAATTTTTGCTGCGTTCAGTTTGAGTCTGACTGAAGTTTGATGATTTTTCTGTTGCAGGAGGGAAGCCTGTGGTCGTCTGAGAGCACTGGGACCAGCAGTGGTCTGAACGAGGTAATTTCTGTTTGGAATAAGCTCCTTGTTCTCCACCTTAAAGCAGCTAAAGATCTTGACGTCTCGTGTCGCTCAGCACCAGGTGTATAACCCGCGGCCCCCGGACAGAGGAGTCATGTCGTACCTGCAGCGCGACCCGCAGCCCGGCCAGCCGCAGCCTCTGCTTCAATCACAGCGCTTCCAGCAGACGTACGGCCCGAGTCGCTTCCAGCCGACGTACCCCTACCTGCCCCAGAGCCTCATCGACCTCCCGCCCACCATCTCCCTCTCAGACGGCGAGGAGCCGCCTCCGTACCAGGGGCCCTGCACTCTGCAGCTGAGGGACCCCGAACAGCAGATGGAGCTGAACCGCGAGTCGGTCCGCCCTCCGCCCAACCGAACAGTGTTTGACTCCCACGCCCTGGACCCCTCCCACTCCTGCCTGCAGGCCAGGTAACGCAGCGCAGCTGCTGTCATTCCCTAGCTTGGAGAACTTGTAATCAAAGTCATTTCAGATTTATTGTCACGTAAATTGCTTTCAAAAACTTTGTATTTGTTCCCTTTCCCAGAAGTTCAACTATTCATTATTCATTTATTTTTGGGTCATTTTTTACTTTTTCATGTGTAAGTCAAAAAGGAAAAAAATCACACACAGCGCTGAAAAAAAGGCAGAGATTTATTGTCGGCTAAAATGATTTTAAAATGTTGGCAGGAAAGGAAACGTTCTATTTGTTCTCTTTCCCAGACATTCAACTGTTCAAGATTTATGTTTCAGTCAGTGTTAGCTTTTCCAACAATAACTCAAAAAACACCCAATGCTGAAAAAGAAACAGAAAGCAAGAACAGATTTATTGTGAAGCAAATTGGTTTTAAAATGCTGCTAAGGAAAGAAACTTTCTGTTTGTTCTCTTTCCCAGAACCTCAGCTACTCAATATTTATTTATTTATTGGTCACTTTTAACATTTCCATATATAAATGAAAAAAGGACAAAAATGCACAAAGCAAGTACAGGTTTATTCTCAAGTAAATTGCTTTTAAAATGTTGCCAAGAAAGGAAACTTTCTGTTTGTTTTTTCTCACAGGAGTGCAGCTATTAATTCGACAAGAAGAAGAAAAAAAACTCCATCATTCCGGGTTTTAGTTCTGGGCTCTCGCTGTGTTTGGTGTCTGAACTTTGTAAATAAAGGCCACTGATGCTAAACAAAACAACAAAAAAATCAATTGAGTTGATTTATATATCACATTTCAGCAACAAGCCAGTTTTTATATCATATTTTTATGATATCATGAAAATATCATGTAGTCAACAATTGTGAGAAACAGTAACCATCGTTAAATCATCAATGTAATTCAAATATAATGATTAATGTTCCAAAGCAACTCCTGATTCATAGGGACTCAGTGTTTCAGTTGGACGTTCCTGGACGTTTGCTCCACATTTTACATCATTTTTCATTATATTTAAGTTTAAAAACATGAGTTGGTCCTTTCTGACTTTCTGCCCTAAAAATATTTATTTCAAACACAGCTGGCGACATAAACTTTGACCAAGAGTTATTCTTATTCCAATCTTCCAGTCCAGTTATTTTTCTATCTGCTGCATGTCGGGCTCATTGCGTGTTTTCTTCGTTTGTTTCTGCCATCGTTCTCATTCCTCCTCCATCCTCTGTCCCCAGGCTGCAGGCTCCGCCCCCAAGCGTCCATTCAGGTGTTAGTGTGCTGGAGGCCCAAGAGGCTTTGTCCCGGCAGCAGAAACAGAACTCGCAAGTAGAGGGAACTCCCCCAACTTACAGCGAAGCCATCGGGCACTTTTACCACCCAGCAACACTCGCCTCCACCCAGAGCCATCAGACTGTATCGGCCCTGCAGAGGGCGCCGTCCTCTCTCATACACGGCCTGCTCAGACCTCTGCCCAAGCAGCAAGGAAGTGTGGAAAACAGGAACGCAAGGAACACAAAGGAGAAATCCCAGAAGCCGGAACAGGTGTGACTGGACTGCTTTCTCTTCATTCCAGCTTAAAAACGAAAAAAGAAAGACACCCCAAGTTCCATCTGCTCACCATTTGGGAAGTCATCTGAAGGCAATGAGGAATGATGACATGAACGTTAACATCCGGTGTGAATGGTTACACGGCGGATGTGTGGTCGGACTCGGCCTGAGAACATCTGCATCACCTCTGCAGAGCACAGTGCCAGGAAAACATCCTGGTTTTCCACTTTGCTTCAGAAGAACAAGGGACGGCGGAGAAGAAGGACCTGAAGTGGAAAAGATGTAAATTCCTCGTCTTTCTGTATCCGATGGATCTTTGTTATAAATATTTACTTGTTCTGTTTGCCTCTGTAGAACGTATCATTTCCAAGCCTGCAGAACATTTCAATCGTCTTGGTTCTTGCAGGATTTGTTTCGTTTTCTTGTGATAATCCTCCATTGCTGCTTTGAGTCCTTAAATGTTTGCTTCTTTTTTCCCCCCCAGCTTCAAAGTTTGCAGCAGCTCCTGCACCGAGCTCTGGCTTTACCAGTGGAGCATGAAAGCACATCTGACTACATTTCCAGTTTAGATTCAGTTAGCATAATTGTAAAACTAGCTCAGCAGGTGTAGCAGCAGTGCTAAATGTCCTAAAGCTAGAAGCTCTGCCTTATAATGACCAACTCTTGCAGGAGATCTTACAGATCCTTGATTCAATTTGATGCCGTCTGAAGAGGGTTTGCACAAAGTCCGACTGTTTGCCGCAGAAGGAGAATCTGCAGTGATTATTGCTAAGAGAGGAGGTCGAGAAAGTAGGGGTATCATTTTAAAACTTGATGCATTCTTTGTTTTTGTTGTTGTCTAGTTTTAGAAAAAGAGACGTGAGAAACATGTGAGTGTCAACATTCACCTTGAACATTTGGAAACGTACATGTTGACTTGTGTATTCGTGACATATGGAGTATATTTACACGCATGTGTGAACGAAAATGGAAAAGCACGAATTTAGAGTTATTTATATAATTGCTGAAAAGCATTGCACTATTTTTTTAGTATGCGCAGATGGAACATTTGAGGGGGACTTTTATTGTGAAGGAGCTCTGTGTTTTGTGGTTTAAAAAGTGATTGGAAATGATTTTCCAGAGTGTGTGAGCAGCACGGTGCACAGCAGCAACTATCAGTTGATGGGAAGATTCTGACTTTGGTGCAAAGGACTCAGACGATCCCATTTCTGTACCATAGATGAAAGAAAAATCTCCAGTTTATGCAAATGTCTGAGTCCAGCGAACCAACCAAACGTCAGCAGCCCACCTGTGGGTCCAATCAGAAACCTCAGAACTCTCTCTGTCTCTCTCTCATCCCTGTCGGCCGAATCATTAGCAATCCCAAAGCTGGCTGCTACTACCTCGACCAAACAAGTGAAGCACATACGTTTCCTAAACTTAATCAGACTGTACCATTTAACAAGCGTCTGAGCTAATCAAGATGGTGTGTAACAGTAGAAAGGAATAGAGTAGAATGTTGTAGACTTCGGTTTTGTTTTTTAATCCTGCTTGGGTGTTTTATTTGAATGTCAGAGTTTTATGCTCATTAGGTGAGAAGAGAGAGACGCCTAATGTTCTCATTGTGGAGCATTACTCAGGAAGAAACCTGTTGCTCAGCAGGTCCCTAAATATCTGATATGCTGACTGTGCACAGTGGTGGCTTCTTATGCACGATTCATAACACCGACATTTCTCCGATCCTCCTGTTAACATTCATTCTGTTCACTCTGGTTTTTGCGGGCATCTCTGAGCACTTTATTGCAGCGGGAAAGAGACAACAATCCTCGAGTCCGCCAGCATCACAACATGAAACCTATATCTCTGTTGACGAGGTAAACGCGTACACTTGATAAAAATGTGTAAATCAGCATCAGATCTGCTGAGTTTCACTAAACAAAGCTCTTATAAAATTAATCAGAATGAACCATAAATGTAGTACAACATTTCTTGGATAATATTGTCAGTGATATTTTGGTGAGTTGATTTTGTTGAAGTTCTTAAGCAAAATTATTATTATTTGTTGTTTTTACACAAGATGGGTTGTTGAAACTAGACACACTGAAGTGTTGACAAGTGACACGAGTGTTAATAGCAACTCATCCTGTGTCGGCCCTTCACAAGTGCAGAAATAGAAACCCATTATGAGTCTGTAAACGTAAGGAAGACACCAGTTGAGCTTTGAGTCGTCCAGTTTTTATGCAAATATTGAACCAAATTGATGCTAAATCTGATTTAAATGGATGATTCAGATGACTTGAAAGATTATGAGCAGTTAATAGTTTAAGAACAGTAGAAAACTGGCTTGCCAATTAGCAGGCCGCATGCTACTTTGGTCTTGAGTGTAAAATCCAACAACAAAACACAACTTGAGTAAGACTGAATCACTTTGACTCTTTTTTAAAGATGGAGGAAGTCCTTTTTGTTCTTGACTCTGTATTCATATAAAGAGGAAGCAATAAGAGTTTCCTACTGTGTGTCATTGAATGCTCATAACATTTTAACAGATATTACTTAAAAACATCTGAACTATCCTTGTAAGTCTGCTATGTGAGAAAAGACAAAAGTTGAGACTTTCTAAATGCATAGACGCTTCTAGCAGTTTTAGTTTTATTAAGTCGGTAGGTCAGTAACTCAGGTGCTTTTTCAATCTCAGCAAAGTGTTTAGAAACAACACACCCTGATCAGAATAATGGATTTTTGTTGAATAATGGAAGAAATCCCAAGTCTCCACCTTAGTTGAACTATGCTGACAAAATTACTTAAACTATAACCAACCAGAGAGAGTTTTTAGAGTACAAACCAAAGTAAAACATTTTTTAGATATTTCCATTACATAATCAGTGACGTATGTTAAAGTCAAGCACTTGAAGATAAAAAAAAAATATGATAAAAAGGGAAGCAAGGCCTGCATCTAAAAATGATATTTAGATTATGAATCCTTCTTGACCTTTAAACCAGAGATAAGAAGGTTTGTAACAAGTGAATAAAGATTTGAAAAAGGCTCTGATCAGGATGATTGGGGAAAAAATACCACTACTAACAATATAAATAATAATAATAATAAATATGTGCATCATAAAAACCCTGCACTGGCTGACAAAAACCCAGAGAGACAGGCAGAGGAAGAAGGAAACTCACATATATCAAACATTTATATGCAGGCAAAAATCATTTAATATGCACTGCAAACTCTTTACACAATCTTCTTTTTCAATGCTTTATGCTCTTGAGTGAGTTAGTGTGTATCAGTGCATGTGAAAGGTGCGTGGGTGTGTATTCCTGTGCAGTAAATGTGCAGCGACGTGGCCGGGGAAAGACCTCCAGCTGTCTAGACAAAACCCAAACACACACAACCGCACACACACACAGCAGTCTAAATAAACTACTTAAAGAGCCAGACACACTTTCATTCATCTAGTGCCCCCCTTGTCCCACCATTCCCACTGTGGACCACTCAAGGTACAGCAAAAACATTTATCTCTCACACCTGGTCTTCCTCCAGAGCGCCTCCCTCCTCCTCCTGTCTCAGTGAGCCCTTCCTGTTCCCAAGAGATGCCCGCTGTCCAATCACAGAGCCCCTTTCCAATAAGGCCCCCCTTCACCATTGGCCGACCGAGTTTGGGTCTCCGTGGAAATGTTCGTCGTTTGTTGTTGTTGCTATGTCGTACGTAAGTGTGCCTGCCTGTGCTGAGACGGGCTAAATGTGAGTGGCCTGTGTGGGCTGTCAATCATCCCCGGCTGCGCTGTCTCAGACTATGATGATGATGATGATGATGACGATGTTTGGATGGTGGTGATGAGTCTGATAAAGATTGATGGTTTCGATAGTGATGCCTCAGAAGATTGTTGCAATACAACTACTTTTTGCCTTTTTGATATTAGTGATATTTTAACGTAGTGTGTTAAATGTAAGATTTTGTTTTTGAATTATTGTTATTATTGTTGTTTATCACTTTAGAAAGAGAGAAAAAAGGATTTCACTTTAATTCACTGTTCACACAGAAAACTGTTTGCATTTGTAAAATTTGAGAGTGTGAAACTACCTAAACACACAAAAGCTGCAGATCAGTAAGGCAGAAGAGGAAATCCGTAACATGTGCTTCTGTGTTTAAGTGCCCTTTTCAGTTGAAGGTGTTGTTGTTAGTTTGCAAATTTGTGCTTTTTTATATGTTTATTTTTGGCATAAAGAGTTTCAGTCATTCCCTTTTTTTTTCTTATGCAGTATAAAGTCTGTTATCTTTTTTTTTAAATTATCGTCTCCAAACTCTACATGTGTGCCTTCTGGTGTCCAGTGTTACATTACTGTTGCCTTTTGACATTTAACCGAACACAGCCTGAAACACTGAATAGGCCTGGCTGTGTGATGGAAGGAAGTCCTGCAGGAAAAGGGAGGAAACATGCGCAAATTTATTAAGAAAACACAATTTTCGCAGCAGAGCAGCAAAATCAGGAGCTGTATTCTGAATTATTTAAACTCCATTTTCCTTCACCTGATAATTTAAGACATTAGCCCAGAAACAAGAGGTTCTGGAAGCACTTATGTGTCATTAGCACAAGGCGACTGGAGAAAATTAAGGTTTCCCTCCTTTTTGTGCGTTTCCTCTCATGCTGCAGTGTTGTGTGCTTCTCCGCTCTTTGAATCAGCGCTGCGCCGGCGCCTCTTCCTCTGACAATGTTGTAGAAAACACAATGTGTGATAACACGCTCTTTTTGTTGCAGTATGTGATGTGTTCATATTTAAATAAAACCTCTGTATTACGACTGCGCCGCAACGCTTGCGACTGTTGTGAAAGTCTTCCAGCTGTTGTGGAGTTTAATCCTGAAGGCACATTAATGGTGGGAGTTGTACAGTATAGTGAGTTTGTTCTGCTCCAGATTCCCGCTTTTGAGAAAAGTCTAATTAAATGTAAAAGCATGAATTACGGTCAGCTTTTCAGCAATGAGCAGAATCTTAAAACCCACCTAGGACAGAACAAGTTGTAAAGTCTGGTTTAGGATCCAGTGATCTGTCATTGCAGAAAAATTTTGGGGGTTAAACTCCAGACAGTTTTATCTCACAGCATGGGTAACACACTTATATAAAGAACAATTTTATTCTCAATAATACCTGCTTATTTGTGTATTAAGACAGTTCCTTTTAACTTATGTTCACATTGACGGGTTTATGTTATATTCCTTGCAAAAAGAACTCAACAATACTTCACTGTTGGTGATACAGAACTTGGTAAGAATCGGACACATTTCATTTAGCCTTTGAATTAACAAAAGTACAAATAAAAAAGTTTTATAAATACACCTGACTTGTCTTTTTTTTTTATTTTGTGGAGTTCAAAAAGTGATAACATTTTACTTACACAAATTACAGCAGTAAATCCTGAAGGTGCATTGTTTTCTTAAAAGTTACTCAAGTAAATGTAACTGAGTAAAAGTAATTAGTTACTGTCCACATAGAGATGTAAAAGCTACACCTTGCTTTAAGGGTAATTACTGAACAAAACACATCATACAAACACAAACCTGTTTGAGAGTCCAGTTTTTATGAATGCATAAAAACAGTGAACGCACAGGGAGAACATAAAAGCCATCCACTATAAAAATATACTATCTTTGACTTTAAGAAACAAACTTTCTAACTTTGGTAACAGGTTTCATGTTATATGGACATTAACACACATACACTCATGTCACATATCTTCAATTTGGATTTACAAAGCTTAATGCCCAAATGATTTGCAAAAATAACACATTGATTTTCTCACAATGTCCACCAGATGGCGCACTTCAATTAGTTTTACAGAAAATTCACACTATAGGATGAACCTGCAGTAAAGCCATCAAAATACAAAAAGAGAAAGAAAAACAAAGAACAATAGACAAATTGAGGCATGAAGCTCTTCATATTTCTCCCATCATTCTGGTGTTTGGTTTCTAGTCGTCTTCAACACTCGCAGAGGTCAGAATGAATCTAAGTACAATGCTTACATCACATCCTTTATTAATTGCTGCAGGAGCTTCTTAATTTTATATTTATTTCAGTCCGGTGTGTGGCAGCACGGAAACAGCAAATAAATAAATAAATAAAATAAAATAAATAAATAAATAAATAAATAAATAAATAAATAAATAAATAAATGAAGAGACAGGGGGTTGTGTGGTACACTGGCGCCCTCTAGTGGCATTTAAAAATAATGTTAACTTTGTGCGATCAATACCTTAATTGTCAAATATTCACCATTTGACCCAATAAAGCTTAAATATTAAAGATAGATAGATAGATAGATAGATAGATAGATAGATAGATAGATAGATAGATAGATGGATAGATAGATAGATAGATATATTGTCATAATGTGCAAAAAGGCAACAAAACAATATTTTTGAGTGTATTGAAATATATTGTTGCTAATTATTTTTGAAAATACCTTACATATTATATCATATAATCTTGAGACACAGAACCTCTAAATTAGTATTTCTGGACTTTAAAATATCAGAACTTCTGTCTTGAATTTCTAATATGGGCTCATATCTCACATAAACTTTGTTTTTCTTTTTTCTTTGTCTTCGTTGTGTCTGGGAAATTAAATATGTCCTGAGATTTTTCACAGAAAAAAAGAAAAAGCAAGAGATGAACGATAGTTCATTTGATTCATTTGACCACCAATTTTCTATTTGCTGTTGGTTCAATAATGATTTTGTCTTTCATTTTTTGTGTGATGTGAACTCAAGTTTTGCTAAACCATCCCTGGAACATCATGTTTATTGCAACTTAATTCCATTTACTTTCTCTGATTGTGACTTTTACAGAGGTATAGCTTTTGATTAGTTTTATTGGTTTATTACGTTATATGGCAGTGGGGCAGATAAAGAACAGTAAAGTAAAATTATGGTAGGTCAAATATTGGCTTTTGTCCTAACATAAAACCATGACAGCAACCTTTGTAAATCTACATGTAGAAAGAAAAGATAAGTGAGTAGCCAATCGGAAACATATAAAGATCCAGTGGTTTCCACTAAATGATTGGAGAATGTGAAATCCTGATATTTTCTCAGATGGTGTCCGATTCAAATTGACAACCTGTGGCAGGAAAGTCTGGATGGACAAACTCTAACAAATACTTTTAATTTGAAAAGAGAGCTTGATGTTACCAATCGATGCTGTTTAAACATGAAGTGACATGTTTCTTGATCACTATTTTAAAAAAGTATTATCCATTATTATCTCTGTTTATCATCATGCAAACTAAACCCTGAATAAATAACAAAATCTGAAAACTTTCACAAAGCGCTAGTTCAGTCAGCAAAGGCATCTGTCTGAGTCACACCTGTCCTTATCAAAGGATGTTTCGTAAATGTGTCATTTAATAATTCACATTCACAAACCTGCTGAAGTAGCAGGTTAACTTGATCTAAGAGTTAAATGCTCTTTTACCTTCAGGCCTATGAAGTCAATTTTCTGTATCCATCTGGTATGAATTTCACTTAAGATCCAAGATTTCATCCATCAAGCCAAGATAACATGTTTAATTTAACATAAAAATAGCAGGAACTAACCAAACTGATAAATGATCCATAAAATTAACAAAACAACATGAACTTTTAACTGATTAAATGCAACAAGAACTTTAAAATCAGCATGTGTAACGAGGAAGAACGGAAATGTGATGCATTCCACAAAAATCCCCTGACTTCTTCATGTCATTCATGTATTTTAATAAATTGTGAACCCAGTTAGGGAATGAATTGGACTCGGACAGGTTCAGTAAACACTCAACTTTCAGCTTCAATATTACAGATGCCAGCAGGTGAGTTTCGCCTCCACTGCAGGGTCATGGGTTTCCTTGTTTCAGAGCAAGGAAGTAATTTGTTGACAAAGTGGAAGACAACCCATAAAACTTATTCTATTCAAAGTGTCCCAGTAGACGTCCCTCAGGTCAAATATTCAGAGCTCATACAAGTCATTTGTGTTTTAGGAAAAGCTTCAAGAAATGTCTCTGCATTTATGTTTTAGGGAGAAAAAAATGCAATTTGTGTTGAAAGACTTTCCCAAACTTCAAACTGAAGAAACAAAGATTGGAAACTTGGAATACTGATGGTTAGAAAATCAGTTTCTTTCTTTTTTTTCAAGATGAGTTAAAGATAAGATAACCTACAATAACCTAATAAATGGCCGGGCCAGGACATACTTGCCACACACCGGACCAGTCTGTCTCCTGGCAGCTTTCTGATCAGTTAGTAAATGATTCCCAGATCCCAAATGGATCCCAACCAGTTACTACGTAGATTTCAGTGAACTTTGCGATACAGTTTTGTCCTTTTGACAAGATTCTACGATGGCTCTTACTGCAGGCTATTGCAGTTTTTTACTGTCCTGCTGCTAACACGGCGCCCCGCCGTCTTGCCTCATACTCGTCTGTGTGTTTATGGAGAAATGAAAAGATATGAGGGATTTACTTCCAGGTTGTAAAATGGACATTATGAAATGAAAAGGGTTGACCACTGACAATCAAAAATCATTCACTGAGTCATTCTACAAACTTTGTACCTTTTTAGTGTTAACAATGTCTGTCAGGTGTCTCTCAAAGATACACCAATAAATTACTTTGCTTGGCCAAATATGGATCAAAGAAGCGCTGAACATGCTGAGTTTCTAAGACTCGGCTGTTAAACTCAGAATATGGGTAGTTTTGAAAAAGGACATATAGTTTCTGGTTTTTGAAGACGTTCTGGTCACATTCCCTGCAGAATTTCACACAAAATCTCTAAAATGCCAAATAGGAGTTAATGATGTTGGGATTAAATAATATTACGTTAATACAGTCGCTCATCCTTTTCGTGTCCCACTCTACCATTATTTCTTCATATTTCTCTCTTTGAATTTGAAACCCGTCTTATTTGCTGTTACACTGTTGTGTCTTTGTTGCCAATTTTCTGGTTTGAGTCTTAATAATTTTCAGTGCTAGAATCAACCATGTATGCTACATTTATCAATATCAGTCATTGATATGTATTTTGCATTTTGATACGTTTAAAGTCTTTGTTTTACAAAACATTTGTGTTATACATTGAAGAATATCTTCTTCACCTTCACCTCAGAGAGAAAGAAAGTAAGTTTTACTTCTTTAAAATAATTTTTCTGTTTGCAGGTATGTTAAGGCTAAAACATGAGAGAGTACACAAGTCTGTGTTCCTGAACCTGTGATTCGAATCGGATCTGAGGGGGAAGTGTGGAGTTTTCTGGCTGCAGCTTTTCCACGGATCGCCTGGAATTCCCTCTGAGCTTTGACCGCTTGCGGGAAGCATCACTGCTGACGTTTTACTGGAGGTGAGAATCTGACCGGACCTCTGGGCCGTGTTACTGTGTCAGCTCTATCAGCTCGCTGTGCAAATATTACATTCACACACAGCTGATAAGGACTCACCTTTGACGCTGCAGACTGTCCTCCTTTCATTGCACAACTTCACATTGTTCCCTTCCTTCTGGTCTCTCTTACTCAGCTGTCTGGAACAATGAAATACTGAACTGTTGAGACTTTGTGTAAATTGTTGTATGTGACACAACTTTGCATTCAGTGTATCTCCAATAAGCATTGATTCGACCTGTGAGTTGAAATCTGCTGAGATGATTTCTACAATGACCTTTTGGTGTTTGTACAGTTTGGCTCTATAAATTGCAACTGAATCTCACCCTGGGCACTGAGTTTGCTTTTTATCAAGGTTTTGTTAAAATCTAGTTAGTATTAAGGAAGGAAAGGAAAGCCCAAAATAGATGGACAAAATATGGAAAACTCTCAAAAATCTCTTTGAAAATTGGGGAAATATTTCTTAAATTCAACAAAATTCAGTCACCATTCTTTAATCCTTACTGTATGATGCTGGACTCCAAGCCTTTATCTGAGCAGCGTCTGATAAACAGTTTCTAGGAGATAACAGTTTATCTGCTAGAAACTGTCTTCGCTTCTTCATTCATGTTCACTGGGAATTACAACTTCACTTGTAAGACAATCTCTCAGTTAGCAGATAACTTCCACTGTACAATCCTTTCATGATGTCTTCATACATGCATATTGAATATTAACACAATTTGCACATCCTAAAACTGAGGACACGGGATGTACCTCCTGTTTATTACTACATGCTTTACTACGTGCTAAGATATAGTACAGCTCTTTAACTAGGACAGACTGGTGGTACGTTACTACCACTGTTTTATATGTTGAGTAGAATTAAAAATGATGTGAGAAAATATATACACTATACATCGTAATGGTGTGACTATAAAATTTTTAAAAACC